TTTGGTTTGCCAACTTCAGCAAACCTTCCAATGGCATCTAAAAAAAATCGCGAAAAACGGAGATCTACGTGTTGCAAAATTCCTGATCTCGGACAGAAAAAATGAGTTCTGGAATACCAACCAGTGCTGCCACGCGGTTCAATAATCTAATTTTTTCTTTCCCAACAACACGGCCAGCAACAATTTTCTTCAAGCGAATCGGAAACACACAAATAAAGTCACAAAAGCAAATGCCCTGAAACAATTCTATTTAAATCACCAAAAAATTCTCCCAACCAAACCATCCAACCACCACAGACCTAAAACTCCTATTTTTTTTTCTTTTCTTCGCTCCAGAGCACCCACCGCACGCGCCTTCCTCTTCTTTTTCCCTTCTGCAGTTCAGCGCATCATCGCACTTGCCGTCTTCATATTCCTTCTTCGGTTCAGCGCACCACCGCATGCGCCATCTTCTTCTACTTCTAACGCAGCTCTCACTCCATCCCTATCTCCTCATAACCTCGTGACCTTCCTCTCTAGGTCATCCTCCCCCTAACTGATGCTGTTGTTGTTCGATACCATCGAGGGGGTGTGACCCTTCCAACACGAAAACAACTGCTTGGAAGATTTGCGAAGGTCAATCGCGATACTTTGCGACACTACGCACTCGTACTTCCTGGATGAAACAATTCTGCTTTTTTTCTCAGTTTGTCAGACTGAAACAAAAATAAACACCTGAAAATGTTGCACTTCCGGATCTACGCCGAGAGCCACATCCAGGAGAATTGTCAGTAGTAGATTTGCTCTCTAGCAATTTCGGTTTTACGTAGCATCTGTTGCACTGAAGAACAAAATGATCCTTGGTCAAGAGCTTCGAAACTTACACTTCACAAAAAAAGCTGAAAAAAAATTCGAAAAACAAAACATCTGAGTGCAGAGTAACAAAATCTCGGATTGATTAACAGGTTTACAGATGTATGTCATTCCACATCCGCATCTTACACAGCTTCAGGTAGAGTTGCATATAATTCCCGGCTTTTCTAATGGCTAATGAATTTCACCGTTTTATTCCCAGTGCAAACGACCACTCAGGCGACTCCTGATGCATATACATCGAACAGGCGGTGGACACCAACTAGAGGCATTGCGTTCAGGATCAAACGGCCCTGACATAGCTGTGCTCGACGTGTAGGAGCATCCCAATAACAACACTAACAGGGGATACCCACACCCGAACGGTCTTGGCATTCTTGATATTTCAGTGCTTTCAGAATTCTCAGCCACCAGTGTAAGAGTGGACTGTAACTATACGAATACAACGCCAAATTTTATGAAGCGCCTTGAAAAACGGAAGACTCAAAGAAATTTATAGCCCAGACGCTCATCCAGAATGTAAAAATGCATGGATCTGATGCATTGAAAAGGAAGGGGTTAAGGGAGCAGCGGATGAGCCGACGGGAAATCGAGCTAAAAAAAACTTCATCCAAAAAGGAGGAGCGGAGGGGGGAGAGGGCATGATTCGATAGGAGCACATGCAAACACAACACAGTGACACAGATCGAGAACCAGTCTGAACGGTTCAGTGGATCATCACTTAAGTACATCTGATCCAGTGGCACTTTCAAACTCAGAACCTTCCCACACTTCATAAGATAGGTTCGAGGCGCTCGCCGATCAGTTTATATCCCAATGCCAGGAATTACTGGAACCTCTCCGCAAAGGGATTCTCAATAATTTGCTCTTTAACGCAATGCTTCAAAAGCAGCGGATTGAGATTTTAACATGCACACTGACACCCAGGTATCAAAGGAGTTGGCAAATGCAGGTAAAAGTATTGAAGTTTTAGGGAGAAGGACACTGTTGAGCCCTATGCTCATACTCAGATCTGTGCCTTCCGAACAGTACATATACGTAAAACCGCTTCCTTTCTTCACTTATTTACTTTTGAACTTCTCCACTGATTCAGCAGACATCCGCTGAAAATCAGAAATACGTGTAGCGTGTCGACAGAGTTCGTTAAGTGGTAGCTAACCCAAGCAAGCACCCAGCGTTGCTCATGTAATGCCCGAAGAGTGCACAATTCCTATCAACGCCCATGCACCAATCTAAGCAACAATTGTTGCTGGGTACAGTACTTGAGCATGGATCGACACCGCCGAGTTCTATCTTGTGCTCGCCTCCTCCACTAACAAATCGGATTAGCGCATCGGTGGCCTTCCTGCTGGCCTTTTTACATCTCGTGAGTGCCAGTTATTCCTTGTCGCGTGACCGGCCCAGTTTCCCAAACGGTATTGCGTAAGTACTCACCTTTCAGCTGGCTGTGGCAGGAATAATGTAGGATTTTGCTTGATCTCTGCGCAAATATAAATTATTTAATGAAATACTGGAAGGGCAAGCTTAGTTTGCGTCATTCTTTCCTGTGCGGCTCTTTCGCTGTGCAGCGCTATAGCGCTACTACAATCAGCAAAAACGCATATTGTCGAGAGGCTCTCTGTATGTTGTGTATGTTCGGGAAGCGAGTGCATTTTGTCACCCACTTTCATCTCAGCAATCAAAGCCGGGAGGCTGAAACTTTGGGTATATGTTTCTACCCCATATGTCACACTCCCGTTTCAAGATACTCCCCCACATGCACCTAGACCTCTCGTACGGGCCCCCTAAATAAATATGCAAACTTCTTTGGCGGAAAACGATTTTGTAAACCAGGCAAGGTAGAAAGCTAAAACTTTGCAGGGATATTCTCCGTGCATGTGTGAGGCAAAACTTTTAAACTCAGCTGTCAAGCACGCTTGTGAAGTGCGTACGACCACGTCAAATGTGCAACTTGGGTACAATGCTAACTCGAAAACTTGCCAGAAAATAGTAGCTGAAATTTTGTCAGGATGTTTGTCTCCCAAATAGAAAATAGTACACCTAAAATGAGTACCGATTTGCATTTGCGTCACGATTTAGGGCACTTCAAAGATATTTGTAGCGAAGTGGATATTTCGGTTGTCGGATAAGCTGCGAGGCTGAAAATTCGCTGGAATATTCTGTTCTCAACTACAGTCTTAATTCTGCTTGGAGGTAGAATTCCCTGCAGATAGGCGTGAGAAATTCTCATCTTTACCGAAAAATCAAAAACGAAGGCGTTTTGCAGCGAACTACCGCCCTCATCCAAATATGTAGATGAACAATCAGTTCATTTGCATGCTTGCATTTTTTGACAAACGACTGCTCAAGCAATACTTCCACTTTTTAGTGGGCTGAAAATTTGCCTTTTTTCAAAAAATGTGCATTTTTCATTTTTCCACAAAGCGAACATTTACCGAGACCCAGGCTGAAACGCACCAGGCGAGCCGGTGCGATCATGCGTTTTTGCATCAAACTTTAATTACGTTAACTGCATAAACGGTTATTCCTTCACACTTACCTTGTGCGCTCAATACCGTAAATCATCGTAAATTTTGCATAAAAGGAAATAAACAATTTTCCATTTAGTGATTTAACATTTTAACAATTTCTCGCCAAAAAAGTTTCACGGGGCCGTACGTGAGAACCACGTGTGGTTGGGGTCCAAAATAAGTCGTACGTGGGCTGAGAACATCCCCTGGAAATTTCAGTTCCTCAGCTTTGCTAATTCCTGAGTTAGCTACTTTCCCGCCAAAAAATTTCCCGAGACCGTAGGTGAGAACCGCGCAAGCCTGGGGGATGAATTTGATAACTTAAGTCGTACGTAGGTTGGGAAAGTTCTCTGAAAATTTCAACCTCCCAGCTTTGCTAGTTCCCGACTTAATGAACTGAAATACCTACCCCTATCATTTTCTCGGAGCTCCTGGGCGCTCCTCTCTTATCTCTTTATGTGTTTTTGCACATTTATGCAAATGCAAAAGTGCATATTGTGACGATTCATGGTTTTGCATGCGTATGTGCTCATCTGTCCGGGTGTTTCAACTTGGCAACCAGCCAAGCCTTAATTCCGCCAGTGGGTCTCCTGGCCAAGCGCTGCCCCAGGGACCTGGTACCGTGCGAGCCAGAGTTCTTGTTTGAGGCTCAGTTTCCATGACAGGCTCAGAAATAGCACGGGCCTTGTGGAGAGTTGCAAGAACTAGTGGATGTTTGTACTAATAAGACTCGGCTCGGCCGTACCGGGTCGGGAGCGAGTCGCGGTAATTGGACCCACTAGTGGTAGAGAGGTAGTATAGGGAGGGGAGATATGGGGCTGAGGGCGGTAGATTATGCGTCTAGGTACTAGGGAGGAGGGGGAGGTATGAACTGGTTCATGAACGGTTGTTTCTTCACACCTAGCTTGTGCGCTCAATACCGTAAATCATGGCAAATTTTGCATAGGAAGAAATAAGCAATTTCCGTTTAGCGGTCGTTTTTATTTGAAAATGACCCAGCTGTTTAACGAGTAATTTTCCCGCGTACACAACAACCACACTTATGTAGAGGTTGAGTTTAAAACCTTGCTTTCTTCACACCTACCTGGAAGGAATGCGTTGGTTGGAGGTGGGGATTAGAAATGGAGGCAGAATTTATGAGGGAAAGAGGCACCTCTATGGTTTTCTAA